CACTCACCTCAGCCTCCCAAGGCACAGGATTACAGGCTGAGCCACCGAGCCCGGCTGCAACATTATTTTAATGGTAAGAAATGACAGCAACCTAGCTGTTTTTTTAAAAAAAAAGGGGCCAGGTTAAATACACAGATGCATCCAACCAGCAGAGAGGGAAGGAGCTAGGGGAGAGGGCAAAAGAGTTTTGGTGGCAAGTGGGAGAGACCGTCCTGTGTGTAAATGCTGCTGTCAGGAAGGAAGACTGAAAATACTCCAGGGAAATGTAACTTGACAGTGTAGAGTTCTGAGAACCCCAAGAAGGGTGAGTGAGAACATAGTAGGGGGTGGGGGGAAGAAGAACATTTTTTGTTGTTTTTTTTCCTTATGGGGAAAGTATGAGAGGCAGGGTGTGAATGAAGCTAAACTGGCAGTTTTTGTGGCAGGAAGTTTCCTTACTATAGCTTTTGTCTTTTCTGTGAGGTGGAAGACAAGGGCTGTGTTCAAAGTGAAGGCGGTGGTCGTGATGAGGGTTGGAAGAGGGAGGCTTGAAGCCATCGTCTCGAGTAGGAGTGAGTTGACAAGAGGAGATTAGCAAGATGGCTGGGCGGTTTTCAGGGGCCCTGTAATGAATGTGGAATGGCACCGGCAGCCCTGTTGTGTGATTTCGTCAAGTGACCCTCAGCTGCCTGGCATGGGTAGCACATGTATCGGCTTTATCCAGCTTTGGGCTTTTGCCTGCATTTATTTTTAAAAGACAGAGGAACTATAGATTTCAGGGTGCTGCAAAATGACTTACTGAATTGCTGAACCATGGGCTCTAAGCTGGATAGATCAGGAAACGCAGAAAAGAAGGGCTGATTATAGGGAATGAGAAGAGTGGCCCAGGGCCTGATGGTCCCAACAAGCTTGAAGACCCCTGGTGACGGAAGCAGGGAAACACTAAGACTGAATGATGGAGACTTCTACGGCCTGGTGTCTGAATTGAGGTGGGGCCAACTTGGTTATGAAGAAGATGGGATTGACTAAACGGCGGAATGCAGTGGTGTGGAAGAGACCATGATGTCCACGAGGTCATGGAACTGAGGTCTGAGAATGCTGGGTGTGGGCTCTTTCACAGAGACGCTGATTAGGCTGAAATGAGTTCTGTCATAAGGGAACATGGTGATAAAGTGATGCGGTTTAGTGATGTGTACAAACCTTCGAGTCTATGAATTTTTTAAAATTCTGCCTTTCATGTTTTGCCAAATTGTAGTTTGTAAAACCACCACCTATGGTCACCATCTTTCATAGCGGGAAAGATATTTTAACTCCCACCGCATTTCCCTCTAAACCCCAAAATAAGGAGGTGCATCAGCTCATATTAAAAGATTAGGCTGCCCAAGCAAAGGCAGGGTGTACACTACAGACACAGTTCTATCTTACTGCACACACATTCTGTTATCTTTACTTTCCTCGGGATCATACCTCTTGCAGATTGAAACAGTCCTTGATCTAATATCTGGGAAGTACTTAATCCATTAAAATAAAACTTCATGCTGGGCTCGGTGGCTCAGCCTGTAATCCTGCGCCTTTGGGAGGCTGAAGTGAGTGGATTGTCTGAGCCCGCGGGCAACTTGGCGAGACCTCATCTCTACAATAAATCAAAAATGAGCCGGG